TAATTACATTGTAGTCCCAAAATTAATCCAACACTAAATGGATCCCTATTATGAAGAGGAACTCGATTCAAGACTTTACTAGTTGTAGTAAAGGGTGTTTGCCTATTACTTATTTGGGCTTCAACCTTGATAAATGTAAAAGAAAGGTTCATTTTTTTTATAATCTTATTGAGAAGATCAATAAGAGGATTTCATCTTTCGAGAGTTTGTTTTATCTTTTGGAGGTAAGGTTACCCTACTTAAAAGTGTGCTTACTTCTATACCTCTTTATACTCTTCTTTTTATGAAAATTCCTTCTAATCTTATTAAAAAATTGGAGAATAGTTTTAATAAATTCCTTTGGGCTGGTAAATACCTTAAAATTCATTGGATGAGTTGGGTGAAAATGTGTAAATCTACTCATTTTGGTGTATTTAATGTTGGGTGAAAATGTGTAAATCTACTCATTTTGGTGGTTTGGGTTTTAGAAGCATCAATGATTTTATGAAAATCAGCTTTTTGAAGCTTTGGTTTCAATTTAGAAGTTTAAATTCTCTTTAGTCTCTTTTGATGAGAAAGAAATATTGCCACCCTCTTTCTATCAATCCAAATTCATTTGACTCCTTTGTTTAGATAGAAATGCTTAAAGTTGTCAGAATTACAAAGGATTTCTTATACTAGGATGTTGGTAATGAGAGTTGTAGCTTATGGTATGATAATGGGTTTGGTGAAGCTCCTCTTGCTAATTCTTATTTGAGCCCTTTTGAGATTGAGTTTTCTATTGAAAATTATTGGAATAATAACAATTTGGACTTACACAAACTGAATGGCTTGGTTGGTAGAGAGGATACTAATCTGATTGCAAAGATCCATATTACTACTGGTAATGATAATATTAAAATCAAAGCTCAAAGTGATAGCTCAATCTCTAAAACTTTTGTCAAGTCTCTTCATGTTTCTAATGGCATGAATTTAAGTTGAGCTTGAAATTTTTTTGTGAAGCCTTGTCATTCATTCTTTTTTTGAAAGCTTTTTTATCATATTATTCCTACCGATGATATTCTTAAAATGAAAGATTTGATGCTCTCCTCTATATGTTTTCTTTGCAATCAAAATGAGGATAATGTTGAACATATTTTGTAAACTGTGTTTTTGCAAAGGATATCTGGTTAAATATTTTTAATCTTTGTGATAAAAGGATTAATGAAATAAAGATGAATTCTATTGCTGGTTTTTGCAACTTTTGGAGGAATTACAGTGCATGTTTATTCTTTGCTTTCATTTCAATTGTAGTCTTTTGGTTCTTTTGGTTTGCTAGGAATGAAGCTAAACCCAAGGGTAATTTGATTTCAAAACTTCTATGTTTCAATTTTATTAGAAATTTTATTTTTAAGATTAGCTTATTAGAAGTGATATATTGCAGATTTTTAATGAATTTAATATCTCTATTCATGCTAACTGTAAACATTTTATTAACTTGATTATGTGGAAGAAAACTAATAGAGGTGTTCTGAAGTTAAAGTAGATGATGGTTGGAATAATTTGATTGCAGGTATTGGTGGAGTTTTTCATAACTCCATTGGCTTTTGTTTACTGTGGTTTTCTGCTCTCGTGCATGCGATTTCTCTTATTTTTTTGTTGAAGTTGAGATGATTTTTTTTTGTTTTGTTTTTGATTGATAGATGTGGTTGGAATTATATCGTGACTGAATTGGATTCTCTTGAATTGTGAAATTATTGCCATAAGAAAAAAGAGTATCCTTTGTTATTGACTTTTCATATGAAAAGAATATTTGTTTTACTTGAGTTTGTGTAGGTTTATTGGATGTTTTATGTTTATACATCGTGAATGCAATCAATGTGCAAATTGGGCGGGTAAAAGAGGCTTGGACTCTCAGAACTTTAACATTTCTACTATTATTCCTTTAGAGCTAAATCAATTGATTAAAAGTGACGTTCTGAGCATCCCTTTATTGACACCGATAAGTTTTTGGGTAGAGTTGTAATCTTGGCTAAAGGTTCTTAGGTTTTTGTTTTTCTTGTGTGAGCTGTATATGTGGGGGTGTTTACTAAAACTATTAGCCACCTCTTTGTAATTATTTTTTTTATGAAATAAAATTTCTTAAGGGATTCTTAAAAAAAAGTCCTAAAAGAAAAATACATATTTCTCCTTATAGATTTTTGAGACCAAATAAATATCAAATTTTAGGCATTATATATATCTATATATATATATATATATATATATAAATTATGTGTTTTATATGTAAATTTTCTTATATTTTAAAACCCAATTGTTCATAATAATATGCTAAAAATGGATTTGAAGAACTCATAGAAGACAAAAATTAATCAAAAATATTAACAAACTTTTATTAAAGTTTTGACCAAGCAGACTTAATTGAAATATCATTTCTCACCATTTACTCCATCTAATGATCAAACAAACAACCAAAAATAAGTAAAACAACCGCGGCTTATTCAACTTTCATGATAAATTACTTCCGATTTTCTCTATTTCTTAATAAACAAATCCCATCTCAGTATTTTAATTTTTAATTAAATAATTGATGTTGCTTACTAATTAATGATTAGTGCTTGCTAATAAGACCTTTAATTAGAAATCAAACATAATTTCGCTCTCGTAGACTCTGGGGTCCACTTGCCACGTCCCCGGCCTATTTCCACCCATTGAGTAGACCACGTCCTCGGCGCTCCAACCACTCCGTAGCAGCGTGAGTGCCAAAAGCCGCACGTGCCACATCAAGTCCAATCTATCCGTCACCACCGTCCGTTTGCCCCTCTTCCCCTCCTCAGCACCGTCCGATTCACCCATCATCAGCATCTCCCTCACTTCCTTCTCCCCCCAACCACCCTCCCGCAGCCTCCACCCCAAACCTTTCATCAGTTTCTCCATCCCATCACCTCCGCCGCCGGAGATCTCGCCCGTAATCACACCTCCAGAGGCCAAATCCGTCCAGACTTCAATCCTCCTCGCCTCGGTTGCGGACCGCGCCGGCGGCGCGGCGGCTGGAAGAACAGCTCCTTGATGCAGAAGAAATCGGATAGGTGGAATCCGCAGCAACGCACTTCTTTCCCGCGAACATAGAAAATGGGATTTCCGGCTTCATTGGGGGTTGCGGGAATGTAGAAGTGGCGGTAAACGGGTACGAGCTTAGGCGCGCCGGCAAGGAGGGATCGAGCCCGGGCGATGGACTCGGCATGGGAATCTGGACGGAGGCCCCACGCAAGCGGCCAGAATCGGGCATTAGAGATCTCGTAGAGGAGGTCGGAGGAAGGGAGGGAGGCGAGGATTTGGAGATGCTGCGGCGAGGCGTAGCGCCAGTTTGGAAATCCGGGGCCGACGGGGAGGCCCAGGTGGAGAAAAGAACGGAGGTCCGGCGGGAAGTGGAAAGCGAGGGATGATTCGATGGCGGCGAGCTCGTCGCCGGAGAGGCCTGTTGCGATGGCAACGCCGGAGGATCTGAGTTTGTCGAGAACTGTTTTCGAATGCGCGGCGAAGGAGGCGCCGCCACGAGGGAGGTAATTCTTGGTTTTTTCATCGATGCGGATGCCGGCGGTTACATTGATCAATTCCGTGGCCGGCATCGGGGCTCGTTGCGAATACCTGCGCTGACTGGCTGAAGGGCGCGGCTGGTAATTTTATAGTGCCAATGAAGACACGTGACGGACGAAGGAGAGGCCATAAAATTAAGCGGGCTGCTTTTTGGCGGAAGAAGGAATGGGGAGAAAATTACGAGGAGCTAACTCAGCTAAGCAGTTCAGGAGCTTCTGTGTACTGTTGATCAAGCTGATTAATGCTATATTTGGGGCAGCTGTTGGGTGGCATTTTAAGGGTTATTTTTAGGGTTATGTATTTAGCTTGAAAATCTAAAATTTATTCAAATCGGATTAAGAGTCAAAATTTTGAATCCAATTTTTTTCTAGTCAAATTTGAGCAGACCCCAACTCGTCCCGAAATCATATCGTTAACAGCTTTAACAACATTGTAGTATTTTTTATTTTGCAAAACTATTTTTTATCTGCTTTCTCAAAAATCTACGGCTCAAAACTATATTTTCTCACTAGACCTGACTAACTGCGATGATTACTAGCTTTTTTTTTTTAAAAAAATTACAATAGGCAGCTTTTGAACAACAACTTAATCAAACGACTATAGCTCTCTCAAATATATCCTAAATTTTTTTTTCTAGTTGCAAAATAAATAAATTGTTATTTTCTTATATCATGTTTCTTTACTTAATTAAATTAATAGAAAATTATCAAGTGCTAATGATGTTAAAGTGAGTTTATTATTTTAATGTTAATTTATCATTTTAATCTTGAATATACATAAATTAGTGCAAAATAACAATCTTTAGATCAAGTTAGCTGGCATAAAAGATATGAGGTTTCTAATATATACTATGACTCAGCTAAAGTGATTTTATTATTAGGAGTTATCAGATATAAGATATATATAATAAAATATAATATTTATTGCGAAATAAGAAGATATTAATTAATATAATGAAGTATGGAAGATTTATTTGATGATGTAAGACGTATGGGTTGTTAATGGATATATTTAGAGTGACTACAGCTCTTTTAAAAATGAATGTGATAAAAAAAAATGATTTCGAGTGAGTTGCGGTTGTGTGCTGCGTTCGTGTGTGCGTGTGTGCGTGTGTGTATATCTATATATTTGCCATATAGGAAGATATTATATAGGTGGGTTGAAAAAAAATAGTTATGCTAACCACAAAATTTTCTAAAATATGATAAAAAAAAATATTTCTTGAATAAAATTGTGGTGACAATCTGAAATATAATATATATTAAAATCTATCGTATAGGCAATATTGGTGACTTATGACTGCACTGTTGAAAAATTAAACAGCTTACAATGATTGTTGGCAATCACCAATAATGTGTACTTGTATTGTTGATTCATTTTTCTTAGAACGAGTTGCCTATAAGCTATAAATGCAGCGCAGACCTTTATTTTTATGTCAAATTATTTAACTTCTTAAAACAATAATTTGTCATAAACTGGCTCATAAAATTCAAACAATCAATGTTGTGAAGATCCTTGTAGAATGACGCGAAGATATATATTTTAGAAAGTCACAACAATGTACACTAGCTGGATGTAAAAATTCTTGCAGAATGATGTGAAATTCTTTACAAAGAATTGAATCTCATTACCAGTAATTATCATCGTCGAGAATCTAAAGAGACAGGCAAAGTTTTTCCAGACAAACTGCTTGACATTGGCTTTAGTGTTCTTAGCGTGCGGCTTCGCTTCAAACCACTTGATGAATTAGTCGACAACTAAGTTGATGAATTTTTGTTGTCCAGTAGGTACTGAAAATAGTCTCATGATGTCTACCCTCCATTGGGTGAAAGATCAATGACTCAGAAATTACTTGAATTTTACTGGCGATGCTTGCATATGATTATAGTGTAGTTGACAACCTTTACACTTATGCACAAATTCGAACTCGTCTTGCTTGATCGTGGGCTAGTATAAACATTGTCTCATTATTTTAAGGGCAAGAGCTCTAACTCGAGATGCTCCCCACATATTCGGGAATAAATTTCTCGCAGAGCATAATCAGCTTCAGATGAGGGAGACACTTGAGCTATGAACATATAAATGTCTTTTTATATAGTTCAAGCCCAATAAGAATGAAGTTGGCGGCCATGCACTGGAGGAGAATTGACACGGTAGCATCATTGAACAATGTTTCAACTTGGAGGAAGGAGATGATGTGGTCCATCCAAGATGGCTCTTATGGGTCATCTGTAGGCAGTATCACCCAAAGGCCTTGAATGCTAGGAAAATGTATCTCCTCGATG